CCCCCCGTACCTCTCCCACTCGTGCTCTTTCTCTCAAAATAAATAAACATTTAAAAAAACACTAATGATCAACAGCATGACATGGATAAGCAGCGTAACCTCTCTATCCTTTAGTTTCTTTGGAAAATGTTGGTTCTTATTCCTATATACCCTACAGAGTTGTTTCTAGGACAGAAGCTGATAGGTAAAAGAGTCTCAAAAAATAGGATACAATTATACTACATAATTATTAAGTCTGAGGACATTTTATGTTTTTAAACTAATCTAGCATCAGAGATAGTATGCCTTTGAATCTAAAGACCATTAGTTATTATATTTTTTGAACATTAATGATTTAGGAAAATGTCTCATCTTAGAAGTACAGCATTGATAATATTGCTACAAAAGTATTAATACAGTAGACTCAAGATGCATATATGGCTCCACATTAATGTGAGGTTGAAGGTCATGTTCTGCTATCAAATCAGTTCTGAATAATAGTTATCTTTAAAGCTGTTTAAACCTGATATTTTCATTACTAAAGGAAGAAATAAATTGAGGAAACATTGTGCTTACAACATTTTCTGAAGCTTTTCAGAGGAAGCAGCTGTGGTTTCTTTAGACTTCCAAGTCTATTATGCAGGTTAGCAGTATATTTTATAATGAATTCTAGACCACCTGCCTTTCTGAGGAAATTAATATTAAGATGGATTTTTTAGTCTTTTTTTTGTCCTCAGTGCCTATGTATAAGGTTTTCCTATTCAGTGAGTTTAGGAACCCCATAAAAATGTTCATTCAGTGTTGTTCAGCTATAGATGATTATTTTTAAAGACATTGTCTAAATGTGTTTTCAACAAGTTCTTGGTGAGTTTTGAGATTGAAACATATTCTTCTCTAGTAAAACTCTCAGCAGATAATGTACATACAGTTTTACTTTAAGGTAGTAAATACCCGTAATGAATAAAAAAGTATTTCAAATGAATTTAACTATAGTTTTAAACCATTGGAACTTCAAAACATTGTTTTAATTATTTTCCTTCTTCTCACCCTTCCAGGAGTTGCAGAGGGAATCAATGGATTCAGGAAGCAGTAGGAATTTGGAGAATACAGTGAATAGGGACTGTCCTGACCAGCTTGTCCCAAAGATAAACACAAACAAGAAAATGTCTACCTTAGCAAGCCAGCCACGCATCCTGGAAACATCACAAGAAGTTAAGAAAAGTTGTGGAGATAAACAGGTAGAAATCATAGTGGAAAGAATAAAAATGACAAAGAGCATCAAAGAAAAACATAGCAATGATTTAGAGAAAGTGGCTTTTAAAAGAAAGGCAGAAAATGAAGAAAAGCCAGCTGGAAAGAAAGAGGCAAAGATAACGGAACTTGACAGCACATTGATCACCATGCCTCTGCCTCACATCCCCTTAAAAAATATCATGGATGTGGAGGCGAAGTTGGTCTACGTCGATGAAGAGGATGTGAGCTATGAGTTTGTAGAGTCCTTCGTGTCTACTGGGATTCGACCATCATGCCAAGCTGCTGAAATTGTAGACCCTCTGCATGTACCTAATTTCAGCTTTCTGCCTCAGATTGACAAATGGCTTCAGTTAGCCTTAAAGGATGCCAGCTCTTGCTACAGACAAAAGAAATACGCCATGGCAGCAGGACAGTTCAGAACAGCATTGGAGGTATGGGATTAAAGAATATATAGATTGATTACAGGAAGCTGTGAAATGGAAAGTGTGATTACATTGAGCAGCTCTGATCATACTGTAATGAACAGTGATCATGGAGTGAAAATATTGAATGATATCAGGATTATATGATTCCCAGTTTACATAAAGCAAATAAGATATGCCTGCAAATTATATGCCTGTGTGCACTTGACATATAGAAAGCACCCCAAAAGCAAACCTCATGATTTTTCTCTGTTAACAAACCCTGCAGTGAATGGCAACATATAAAAATGCAGTTGGTTTTGTAATTTAGAAGTATACCTACAAAACCCATAAAGTTTTAATACAGTGGTGGTGGGTAGAATATAGATTTTCTCTCTAGAAATAGGCAGTTAATGAGTATATGAATTTTCCCTTTTGATAATGTAGTCTTCATGATTAAACGTAACCATCTTTACTGTTTAGCATGGGCTGATAATTTATGCCTGATACTTATTAAAAATAAAATAGCACGATTTTACTTTATCATCAAATTTCACTTTCCTTCCCTTTCTAGTGAGCTTTATAAATAATTATTTTTCTCTCTGCAAGCAGGTAAATTGGTCAGTATTGTTTATGACATAATGAAATAGCCCATGGACTCAAATAAAATTGGGAGTCACCACTAAAACACAAAATAGGTGGTGGGAAAAACTGTTCCATCTTATGACTCACTGAACCTATGAAAGGACCAAAGTTTGTCACTAAAAGTCCTATTGGCCTGACAATATTGGCATATTTCATTAATTACAAAAAAAATGTTAATGCATTCTATATGTGCTTGGTGGCCACTGGAGATATAAAAAATGAGCTAGAACATGTTTTTTTCCCTCTAACAGTCTGGTGAGGGAGACAAACCAGTAAACCAGTTAAAAAGAGATAGGATAAAGGGGCAATGGATCTACCATAAGATAGGAGGCATGAGCAGAAGTTAGTATGACATGTTTGTGATAGAGATTTAAAGAGTCAAGTATTATTTACACTGTTATTTGCAGGTTAAAATGACTACATTTACAATGAATTATTAATGGATAATACCAGACAATTGGTCCCCTAAATATTTAAAAAGAAACTTTAAGCACAGAAAAGGAGGCCCAAAGAGATATGAAATGATGAGGTAGTGTAAAAATAGATGCATCTATAAATATTTCTGTCTTCACAAAGGGTCATCTACACAAAGAAGGGAAGAATAATGCATTACGTAAACTTGTGCACTATGGAAAAAGTGCCCCCAAATTAAGTTATCCACAAATCACTGAGAGTCCTATGCTGTACTTTTGAGCTAAACACCAGAGCTTCTCGCTGAGGAAAGGATCCTGAAGAAAGGCTCAAGAAGAACCCTGAGATCTTCCACTTAGGGCCATTTTCAGCAAAAATTGTTTTTTGAGGGTGGGGGAAGCAGAGTTAAAGGTAAAGTTTTGAAGATGAAGAAAAATAATCATGTTGGAAATGAAAAAAAGCATAAAATAAGAAAGGATATAAACTTCAAATTAAGTCTAGATAGAAGCAAAAAGGTATTTGCACTAACTGGAAGAAAATATCTGGTTTTTCCATAACCCAATCAATGTTCAAAATTACAAAATTTGAATCAGGTTTTAATGACCCCAAGATATAATTGTTCTAGAAAATGCTTTTGTTCTGACTCTCTCTTATGCACAATCTCTCTCTGTCTCTCTCTCTCTCTCTCTCTGTCTCTTTCCCTGTCTGCCTCCCTCTCTCCCCCCACCTCTCTCCACCCCCCTCCCCACGAAGGTTTTTAGGAAAGTGTTGGATGCTGACACTAATTACTGGTAATTAACAAAGGTAATTATTTTGAGACCAAAACTTAGCTTAGACATCTGGCCTAGCTTTTGTCTAATTATCTTGGGAGTTAACTTTGAAATTTTACCTAGAATGTCTCTTAATAAACCAAAACTTCTGGGAATAGAAAAGATTTTTAACCTCGTTAATCCTTTCTTCTCCTAAATTTAACTTCTTCAAAACTGACTGTTCTTAGGTATTATTTAATGCATCTCTTCCTTTTCATTATGTCCTAACATGGCTTTGAGTAGGGCAAGATGGATGACAGAGACCAAGACTTAAAGATAAGGATCACACCTGAAAGATATATGTACCAACAAATATTTGAGTGTACATCAGCTAGGATTAGGTTTGTCTCTAAGTGATAGAAAACCCGAAACAACAGTGTCTAAAGCAAGAGGGTTTATTTTTATTTTTTCACATAAATGTGCATAGTCAAACGCTGGTATGGTATGATCATTAGAATACCACATTCTGTTTTGTTCCGCCAGATGTGCTTTGACCTCACGGTCTAAAATGGCAGCTCCTGTTGGTGACATCATATGCATCTAGCCAGCCAGAAGGGAGATAAAGGAGGAGAGAGATACACCGTGTCCCTATACACCAGGTCCCCATGAGCACAATTCACAGAAGTTGCACACACCATTTCCATTTTTCCCCCATTGATTCAAATTTAGTCATGTGGCCACACAAACCTACAAGGGAGGCTGAAAAATCTGGTCTTTATTCTGCATGGCACTAACATTCAGGGGTTCTGTTACGGAGGAAGAAGAGAATGGCAAGGCAACTTTCCCATCTAGTGCTAAATCTTGGGAGGCATTTTGAGGCATACAGAATGCTTGCCAAATGGGTGATACAAAGTCAACTATAGGAGTATACAGAAGGCTGGTTGTGGTTAAAGACAGAACCACAGAAAAGAAACAAAAATAAAAAATGGGGAAAGGTTCTGGAGATTTGTGAATATTTATTGACATGATAATTCTCAAGGCCTCTAATAACCCCATTAGGAATATTCTATTTATGTTAGTTTCCTTATACTCTTGCAAAGTATTAGCTCCTTTTGTTTTCATAACGTGGTCACCCACTAGATAGATAAATTTCTGGTAATGTTTTAGAATGATTAAGATAAAATGGTAAACAATGATTCAGAAGACAACAATTTAGCTTCCAAAAAGCAGTCAACTTTAATCTTTTAGGATTGCAGAACACAGGAAGCATTTATTTAAATATGATTGATGAAATAATTTATTTTTATGCTTTATTTTTACTATATAAAGTTGAACCAGTTATGTAGGTGAGATTAGTGCTTAGCTCTGTGACCAACTCATTCATATTTGTTAAGTTTTATTAAGATCAGTCATTATTTGCTCTTGTGTTTATATTCACATCAGAAGACATACTAATAGGGCAAAAGGTAGAAGCTGAAGATAAAAACACATTCATATTAAATCAAATTTGTATGCCTAGATCCTATTCCCTGTAATTTTTAAAGGACAACTATTAGTTTTTTGGGTTTTTTTCTAAGTAATCAAAGACTTGATGATAAAGAGCACAGGAAATCATTTTGATAAAACACAAATCTTTGCTTTGTAGGCAGATTACTTAGAGGGTAAAGGAGGAAGACCTTTCACAATCTTTTATCAGGGCAGACCAATAGTCCAAGAAAACTTTGTCCTTCTGGCAGATGAAAGAGTATTAAGTTCTAGTTTTTCTTAAGGATAAGTACATTAATCATATCAAAGCTTATTTGAAAAAAACCTTACAATAACTTTATTTAATTTTATCCAGCTTGATCACGCATAAATTTATTTTCCCAAGTTTCCTTCTTTGTAATTCTTCTACAACTTTTTTAGATTTAGATTTTTCCCATTTTTTTTCTCTTTTCTACCTCTCTTTAGGATAAAATTCCCCTTTTTCCTCAACAAAATCCATCTCCATTCTTTGTACCTCCTTTTACTTTACACATCTTTACTTGCATACAGGATATTTCCCATATTATTTCTAGTAGTTTTAATTATATATTAGAATTTTTCATTCTTTTTATAACTTTAATTTTTAGTAAAAACCAAGTAAACAATTGTGAGAAATAAGCCCACCAACCCAATCAAAAGAGGGATGCAGAGACTTGGAGCATGTGAAGCAAGGCTTTAATCAACATTCTTGCAAGAGTGGGTGTCTGATGGACAGGCACACACTGGGCAGTTTCAGCAGGCAATTTATCTCCTAGCATGCAAGTCCCTACCCTGATTCCTCATTGGCTGAGTACTGCAGAGGTTATGGCCTTACCTGGAAGTTGCCTATGCCCATGTAAGGCAAAAAGTGCATTCCTTGAGGTGTCACAGAGACTTCTGTTCTTTGGTGCATGCACACTGCAAAGCTCCCGGAATGGAGAGGGGAAGAAGAACCAGGAAGTGAAGTGTCTAAGGGTTTGGGACTCCATTGTTGGGGGGGGCAGGGTTGTTGTTCATAAATATTTCCAATAGGTTGTAAACCTATAAACTGTTAATCTAGTTAACCTGTTAACTAGACAGCACAGCTTTTATTTGGTATTTCTGAAAATGAATCATCTCACTTCTCACATAATTGTGAACTATTACATTGACATTCTTCAGATTGGCAAATTTACATTTTATGATTCTTAGAGACATATGCTTCCTAAGAGTACAATTTTTTCAATGTGACATAAAATATGTTTACTGAGAGATCCAAATATCTTCAGTTCCTTTGTAAAAAAGGAAACCAAGAGAGGATAAACCTATGTTCAGTAATTAATGTTTCTGTTTTATCTTCTTTGGAAATGATCTGGATATTTAATGAATTTAACTTACCTCATCATTGAACTTAGCAAAACTTTCAGGTTTCAGGTTACTGCAAAGATTTGGGGAAACTATTTGAAAAGTTTACCTAAAAACTTTTTTTTTTTTTATTTTAAATTTTTTTTTTCAACTTTTTATTTATTTTTGGGACAGAGAGAGACAGAGCATGAACGGGGGAGGGGCAGAGAGAGAGGGAGACACGGAATCGGAAACAGGCTCCAGGCTCTGAGCCATCAGCCCAGAGCCCGACTCGGGGCTCGAACTCACGGACCGCGAGATCGCGACCTGGCTGAAGTCGGACGCTTAACCGACTGCGCCACCCAGGCGCCCCTACCTAAAAACTTTTTATCCTACTTA